TGCATATGACTATCTTCTAACATCGGTATTAAAGTTTTACACATTTCAACCCTATCTTGTAAATCTTCTTCATAAAGTTGTTGTACAAACTGCGCCTTATAAGGCTTTAATGCTAGATATTCAGTCATGATTCGATGTGTTGCTGTTGGTGGAATAGAACAGTCTGTTGCAACAGATCGAACACTGGATTGTGGTTTATCTTTCAGAGCATCACTAACTTTGTCGATGGTTTCTTCTGAAATGCTTGAAGGTCGTCCAGACCGTTCTCGATCTTCCACTGTACCGGTCTCACAAAACCGTTCAAATGTATCTTTAATACATGTTAAACCTGGTGTATTTATTCCAAACTCGGCCCTTAATTTTTGTTGAACAACTGTAGCCGAGTCAAATTTGACCATTAATAAAAATATTTTTATTCTAATATTTTTAGGCACAGATATTTATCTGAAAGTATATAGAACAAAACTAGAAAGAGTATACTATAATATTATAAAAGAAAAATATAAATCGTTTGAGTAGCATAGAAGATATTTGCGAAAACTTTTCTCGGGAACTTTTGGAACACCCTGTAGTATGGGCAACAATAGAGTTTAGAAATAAATTATTTGTTCTTCATAGATAAACTCGAAGTAATTCTATGATGTTATCAATGCCGTTCGCTTTTAATTTTTAATATATTTCGAAAGTCTCAATATTTATCTGAACTACCCAGGTCGACTGATCCGGCATCGGATCCAATAGGAACCTGGAAATATCCTACAATCCGATACAATTTTCTTGGATTCCGGATCGAGGAATCGATGTCGGATCCTCAGTGTCGGAATCCTATGAACTTCCGATGACATACAACGGTTTTTCCTTGGAATTCATAGGAACCCGACACTGAGGATCCGATAAAATCCTATTGGATTCCTGTTGGATCGGATGGGTTCCGATAGGTGCCTATTGTCGGATTGCTCGACCTGGGTATTTCATTTTTGAGTTTACTCATCATTACTTCACCTATTAGAGAACACACCGTAGAAGTCGCATCTTGATATTCGAAACAGAACTCACGCAATACATCTAAATTTTCAAGCTACCCATTAGAGTTGTCAGTCGAAGGGTTGAACGGCGGCGACGGGCAACAATTTTCAATTTTTGAAGATTTCCAGCGGCTCGTTATTTGAATGAGTAATGTAATCAGCGGCGGTTGCTACAAATTCTTAAATTTTTTTTCACAGCAGCGGCGTCGCCTGATATTTGCAAGCCCTTATGTGACGGCGGCGGCTCAGTTAAAAATTCACTGATGAAAATTAAAAGAAAAATGTTCGATTCGATCGCATAAGTATTGATGTCAGCGGCGGCGAATAACGCTATCAAAAAATTTTATCTCTTGCAGCGGCGCAACGGCTACACTTGTTTTTTCACAGCGACGGCTACCCCAAAATTCTTAAAATTACCAGTAATTTGGTGGCTGCGGCGGCTGATATTATTGAAAAATTGACTGCTGCGGCGGCTCAGTCGTACGGCTGACACCTCTACTACTGATCCATCTGTTTCTCAGATTCCTCTTAATCTTTTCTTTTCTTTGATATTAGCAAAAACTTGAACTTATTCATTAATCATTTGTAGAAAATTATTCCCAATAGAGATATCTATTTGCAGATTCCCGATATAACAATTGTAGGATCTTATTGGCAAATTTTAAGGATTTTTTCTCATCAACTGTAAATCTTACTGGTGTAATTGAACTAGATGAAGCATGGGTGAGTCAGTGTCTTGTATGGAGGTGTGGCGTATGTATATACACAGATAGATATATGCCACAAATAATATTCTCAGGTGTGGCAATTGCCTCGTAATGGCCCGCCGATCAATGGAAGATACCTAATCAAAACACAAGAGATATGCACTCTAGAAAGTTCCTCGATGAGAAGCAAGAAGCTTCAAGGTCTCGTTTTTATTTCTTCCTCTTTTTATTCATGAAGATTTAAAATAAATTTCTAAAGATCTTACGAGCTTTACTGATTTTACAAAATTATTATGCTCAGCTCACGTCCTGATTAGCGTTACATAGCGCCGTCTATGACTATTTATCGTCACATACTATTTGCATTCAACAAGCGCAGGTGTGCACCGTAGAGGGCTGTTGTAAAAGCTCGTCATAAACATATATAGTTTTTTGTCGTCATTCATTGGTTTACGATCGAGCACGATGAATCTACATCGGTACGTTAGCAGCATTTCAGTTTATATGAAGTTCTTTGACATTTTTCATGAAATAATTCTAAATCTCACTATCAAAATATCGTATAAATACGTTAATAACTACTATTTCTGATATTCAAACCAACGAGCTCTATCAAATCATTTTAAAACAAAAACGTAAAAAAACTTGTTCAAATTGTGCTTTACCGAGTTCCTACATAACACTAACTGATGGATTTCTTGCCGATAAACGAAGCTAATGGCCCGGAAAGATCGTTAAACGATATATATATATCATTTCATCTTTTAGGGAAACTATCAATTTCATAATCAAAAATGAGTTGTTATTCGACTTTGACAGCCGAATTCATGTGACTGATCCAAAATTAATTTTTCATAGATTAGTATTATGCAGCGTTTTTATGACTTAATTCTCTTCTGCTTGTTATTTTCTCCATCAAATTTGATACATGAGAAAAAAATAAAATATTGTTTTACAGATTATGCTGTTCATGCTTATATAGAGCATAAAACAGCCGTGAAATAAGCTCCTTCCTATTCTGTTGAAACAGCAGTAGTTCAAGTTAAATTATATAACATAAAATAAAGTAAAATAATCAAAGCTCTAAAAGAAAGATTCTATTATGTGAAATTCAATGAGCGATTATGACACTTGCGTAAAATATAAAAATGTTCCTGAATGACAAAAGTTTCGTCCTTTTACTAGTGTTTGCTTAGAATAACAAGGTATTCTATCAAAAAATATGATATTATTTGAAATAAGGATAGAAAAGTGTATGAAATATTTGTGATAAACTTTTGAATAGAGCTGACTAATTTTTGCTATAGAATCCTGAGCGTGAGCCGGAACTGGATTTTTGCATGAAAGCGGAAGCTATCCGGAGATTTATGATATAAATAAATTCGTCAGTTTTCTAGGTTCTTGCTAAATATATATCATACATTTTTGATAACAAAATCTGATTACGTCGAACAAATCTTTTTCATATAACAAAAAACGTTTTTGATAAGATATCTTGAAATACTAAAAACGTTTGTTCTATGATTTTGTAATTCAAAGTGAATTGTTGATTTCGCAGCTAGAAAGTCTTTCGATACGTTGTCCTGTATTTTTATATACGCCATTTAATGGAGGAAAGAGCGAGAGTTTGTATTTAATATGTGACGTAAATTGAGCGAGTTAATGACGTAAGAAATAGTTGTCATAGAAATATTCTATTACACAAAGTTAGACGATATTCAATAATATCGAGTTTCGAAATAGTCATATGCAAGTAATAAGAATAGCCGAAATCTGATGATTCAGCTAAAACAATAAACTCAATTTTAAATTAGAATCGATTTATTTCGTTGACGTAAAGATACAAGACAAGTGTAGTAGAAGCAGTTATTAACTATTCGAAATCAACACTGGCAATGATTACATCTACAGTTAACCGGTAAAATTTTGAAACTATTCGGTTTTTAGCATAATAAGTTTTTATGTGTTGATACTCATCATATATATCGTGACTCAGTTAGGAATTGAAAAAAAAGTACGCGAGTAAAGTTCTTGTGTGACACACTAACCCCATATGTTAGTAAAGCATCGCCGTTGTTTATCTATGATCTTATCGAAAATTCTTTTTCAAGAATGAACGAGTGCAACTTTATTTCTTTTGTCGAATTATCAAGAGGACTATTTTATGTGATAAATGCATACCTCTTTGTTTTGATATTTTTTTTTGAGTACAATTTTTGAGTAAGAATGACCTAGAAATAAACTTTCATATAATTAGACACATTTCAAGGAGAGTATAACTTTTATATTATTAGCAAAAGTTAGGGTATGATATTTAATGAAGATATTTTATTCATTATACAAATGAAACACTATTTTTCATTTTGTTTTTAATCTCTTGGATTATTTTATATTTCAAAATGCGAAGACTTTGGGAATCATTAAAAATAAATGATAAAAGTCACTAATCTGTAGATAATGTAAAATTCAATTTCTACCTACAAACACATTTGTTCTATTCGATATCGACGACAGTAAATCACATCTATGCTTTTTACTCGAGTCTACACGTGGGACGTCTATCACTGTTTTTGTATAGCAAACGTATCCATACACAAAGCGCGCGATTCAGTAGTACTCGTATAACTATATTTTACTTTATAGTCCATCGTTAACTACGTTTTTTGAAATTTATTTTCGCTGATAGAGAAAAAAAATATTTATTAAACCTTTTAGATAATTTAACAAACTTGTCATGTATCAACAATTGAAGGACAACAAACGTTGCCAAGTGTGTGGAGATACTGCATATATTTCTAACTATGGAGCTTTATCATGTGCATCGTGTAAATCCTTCTTTCGTCGTCGTGGTTTTCATCCTGAAGTTTGTATGTTATTTGCAATATCGTATTATTTTTATTTTTCTGCTTTTATAGAATATACCTAAATGTGCTTTTTATGAAAATTGTCATATTACAGTAAAATCGAGAAAATTGTGTAGTGCATGTCGTTTTACGAAATGTCTTGATGTTGGAATGCATCCATATCGGATTCGAAAAGAAGAAATTATTGTAAGAAAACGATCGGTAAGAAAATTCTAATCAACAGAGAACTATTCTCTACAAAGTTTGGAAAAGTTTTATAGTGAAAAAATATTCTCTGTAGTTCGAGTTAATTAATAATCGATGCAAAAATATTTTTAAGATTATAACTGATGACTTATTAAAGAATGCGACATTTTTATTTTCTTTTGTACGAAATATAAGACAGTACAAAGGCTTCGCTCTACAGAACTGGCAACTCTATTGTTTTTTAAATTAGTTTTTGTTGTCGGTGCAAAATTGGACAAGATTGACACCTACTCAATCGTCGAACTGGGATGCCCTATTTATCGCAGAGAACTGGCGATTTTTGTAAACCTATGCTTGTCAAGTTCAACACGAAAATTGAAGTATATAAAATCAACAGAGAGAGAACTTTGTGCTCTATTGTTCCGGATAGCTGTCTAATTCGAGTTCGAATATAAATGGAGAAAAGAAAAAATTAAACTAAAACTAAACCTAGGAATAGATTTAGTTTTAGTTTAACTTTCCGATATATGTGACATCTGAATACATATATACCCACTACAACCATACCCACACCACAAGGTATACAACCCAGGCACCACCCCGGGTACCTGCACCCATATTTGAGCACTCCTCCATAGTATCCATCACTCACAACCACATTTGAAGTATCCAGGACCTCCTCCGCATCCATTCTTGGTACCTCTTCTACCCATGCCTTATTCGCACTGCCACCCACAGTTACCCCTTAATCCCTCTCAACACGCACCCACTCCATCTTAAACTAAATTTAAAACTAAAACTAAATCTATTTCTATCACTTATTTTCGAAGTGATACTATGCAGCAGTTAGGTGTTCATTTATATTCGAATTCGAACTAGGCATCTCATGAAAAGCTGGAGAGCATGAATGATGCTAGAAAGAGAATAATATTTTCTGCTTTTCATGTCAATAGTTCAAACAAATATGTATAATTTAATAATTGATAGCAATATGTTTAGTCAGTGGATAATTCGAGTCGAGCCACAAGAATTTGACCTATGCCGAACACCGATGGCAATCTCTTACGGATGAAAGACTAATCAGCTTTACTAATTTAAAGAATTATTTTCATTTTAGTCCAATGGAATGCGAACTCCATTAAATCTTCTATCGAAAGACGTATCATCTCTAAGTCCAACAAATTGGGTATTATTATCAAATGTGATTCATGCATTTGATTCATATAGTCCTCTATCTGAAGTACGAAGTACAATTGAAGTTCTTACTAATGTTTCACTAAATGTACAATACAGTGTACAACAAGCGCAAAATATGTTTAGTTCAATTTGTCAATCACTGCAGTTAACTGTTAGTTCAACGGCTGATTTTCGAATAATGACAACTGATGAACAATTTTCTCTGCTTAAACGAAATATGGGCGGTGTTTGGACGTTTTATTCTATGGTTATATGTCATCAATGTAATTTTCTTGATAGTACAACAAGCAAAAGTATTATGGTACCCCTATATGGCGTTCATAATGTCGAGCGTGTAAGATTAATCAGCTTCCGACTTGATCCTGATATCACACTTGTTAAACTTATACTTATGGTATTAAGTTTTTCTTCGAATTGTTTTGCAGTCAAGAATGATCAAATTAATAAAAGAGACAGCCTACTAATGGGTACTTTTCGTCTATTCGGTAGTCAAAATGTATATACTGAAGTCATGTGGCAATACATGTTGTATAGATATGGATATTTCGAGTCTGCAAAACGTTTTCTGATTCTTATTAAAATTATGCTCGATGAAATAGAACTTGGATCAAAGATCTACGAGAACAATCAAGTTCATCAAGATTTAGCAAATGAAATTGTTCAAGAAACTGCACGATCATGGGCTACTAATAATAGTGAAAGCGCACCCTTATGGGGTAAAAAACTGTAATGGCACACAAACTTATATTGATTCTTCTGTGTGCCATTAAATTATGTAAATTATATTTTTAGTATCAATACAAAAGAAAGAAAAACAGGAATCTATGAAAAAGTTGATGCTTGTTTTCGATCTCATATATCAAACAGTAGTAATCAGAAATCTCAACAGTCTAACAACAAACGTAGTTTAATCACTATCTTGGGGTCAATTGTTTTGTTGACTGTATATCACGATTAAATGAGCTATTTGATCAAGAACAAGACTTGTGATGTTTCTCTTGCAATATATAGTGATAAACAGATGTTAAGATTCTCTTTCTTTCTTCTTTCTTACGTATATCGTCCTCAATATCATTGAACTTAATCATGTATTTATGTACATAAGACGTTCAAGTGCAAAATAACAATGAGACTAATCAATCATATGTACTTTTTTCCTCGAGCTTAAAATGACATCATTCTATAATTGAGCGGACATTGAGGTATATTTCGAGTTCTATTCGAATGAATATAGGGAACCATACGGTCTAATGATCATCTCTAGCCGGAAATATTTGAGTATTAATATTCGATTGATGTTCTTTGTCTTGAAATGAACAAGTCTTTTCACGAAAACTATAAGTATACTCATATATATATATATGCGAGTAATTTTATTATCTATCGAGTACTACCTGCTTAAGCTGACAATGATTATTGATAGAGTCAATCGACTACATACTCGCGCAATCGTTAATTGAATGGCCCATCCGTTCGTCATTTATCATATTGTTCAATAAAGAGAGACATCGATCAATTTCTTTCTCTCCTCTTTTTTTCTTGATATTCTTCATTTCTACAAATTGTCATTTTTTGTCATCAGAATATGTCTTCACAATTATGGTTCATATTGATTGTTACGATTCATTGTGCTTCACCTAGATCAGAATCATCATTGAGTAATACCGACGATGAAGATCTTTGTAAGTAATAGTTTCAATTTCGTTTTTATTTTTCTCCTGATTTTCGATGATTATTGTTTTGAGGCAGATTTCTTGATCAATCGATTAGTATCAGAAGTCGTATCTGGAGTTTTATTTGAAATAGATAATAGTTTTTCATCGTCATTTACTTGTCGATGTATATGTAGATGTTTTCTGCATAAAGCAATTTGTGATTGATGAGGCGAAGCAATATGATAATTAAGACGAAGTAGACGATGTCGTATGCATAAATGAGAACAAATAGGAGCAGGTATTCGAGATAAATCATCTCGAAGAAATATCGATTCAGATTTCAAAGGAACACTATCATTCGAATCAAATATATAGTTAAATAATTCTTTCGACATGACTTTTTCTCTCAATACAAACAAAAAATAAATTATCCCGCTTTTCCATTCCTAGTATCTTGTTTTCCTTGATAGTTATAAATTGAAAATTGAATTTCAATGAAATCTGTAAGAGATATTTGTTTTATTGTATTCAAACGAAAATTAGATCAGAATTTAGAGTCGACTGAAGTACGATATTGATTAATAAACTTTTTTTTCTAAAATTAAACAGACTTCATAGAACCCAAATATATTTCCTGGAGACTCCCAAGTAAAACAATTCACTGAGAAAAAACACGAGAATTGATCTCCGCTTACGACATTCGTGGCAATTGTTGGACAGGTACAGAAAGTGACTTTATTTCACTGCCATTATCAACTAAATAAGACGCAACCAAAAATGCAGTCACTATTTTTAGCCTCGCCCACGATTGTAATTATCGTCCTATCCTTATACGATTTAAATTTCCATTATAAAAAAATGCTATTCTACTTTGTCTATTTATAGACTGATTTAATTTGGTTTCGACTTAATCTCTTATAAAATGAAAATGTTAAATAGTTCATCTTCTATTTTAAAAAAGTGATTTTTCCGGAATAGCTTTTCTTTTTTCAAAACAAACTCATGCAGTGTAAATCTACCGAGAAGGATTAACTAAACAATATAACTTTCTTTTCCGATTAACTGCGCTTTTTGTAATCCATATTAAAATCTCATAGCCTCGAGTGTTTTTTTCTCGTGGAATAATTTGTTCACCAGACAAATTATATCCTATAACTGTCATTCGTTTGAATAAAGCAATGAAATCGATATTAAAACAGCATAATTTCAATAAATTTTCTTTTTCTATTTTCTTATATAAATCTTGTCTGATGTAGCAGTAGCAGCAGATGTTCTTTTTATTACATTGTCATACGATTACATCAGATTCGAACAGCTTGAAAGAATTCGTCTGGAAAATACAGTATAGTATGTTTATTTCCGTCTTGGATCACGTCAGTCAACTTCACTACCTGTATATGATTAGAAAGTGAGAGAACGATCATTACTGTTCAACCGTATATAATATGCTCTCTTGGCCTTGGTCATCATCAGTTCTATTTCCAAATGAGTGATCAAACAAAGAAGCTCATTCATGCTTCTCATGTTCAAAACTGCCACACCCGATGTGTCATCGTCATTCAATTAACTGACCACTATTGAAGATCGTAATCATCAACTAGTTCGGCGAGTTTTTTGTTTTGTTGGAGATCAGCGATCACGAAATAAGACATAATTAGCAGCAGGCGTTTCGGTTTTTTTTTTCTTTCTCTTTTTATTTGAAAGATATTTATGTATGTATGGTGAATGTTCAATGTTTTGGAATAGAGGAAAAACGGAGAGGGCAAAAGAAGAAGAAGAAAAAAAGAGGAAAGAACGAGAAAGAGAGTGAACAAGAGAAGAGAAAGCAAAATGATTGTCCATTTTTACTTGACACCTTGTCCAAAGAAGAACAGAAGAAAATTATGTTGATGTTATTTCTATATACCCTTGTTAATTTAGCTGGTTCTCTAGTGGCTTTTGATACAACAACAGAAAACTATACAGTACCAGTTAGTGGAAAATGTGTGCTAACTTGTTATGTGGCTGAAGTTCGTTCATTTAAAGTAAGTTATTTCATAATTGTTGTTCCCTTTTTCTTTTCGTTCAAACATATATCCACACTATCTCTGTCATTACTTTCTTTCTTTCATTGCCTTTTTTCTTCTTCTTCTTCTTCTTCTATGTGTACGTCTACAGCAATATGATCTGTTGGCCAGACCATAATTGTACTGTTTGTTGGTTCAACAAACTTTTGTGTGTATATTGATAACCAACATTTGTGATGTATGTTATCATAGTCGCATCCATCCAAGATGAGCTAATTAGATTGATATCACTCCCACCCTCTCTTTTCCAATCAATGATAAGAATCTAACTATACTATGTCTGGTTTGATGTGGTAATACAAAGATAAACATTGAAGATACCAGGCATAAATTAACTCATCGCCCGTTCTGCGAATCTCTTCGTTCTTCTTTTTTTGCTGCCTTGTACGTTATTGAATTGTTCATATTGCGGAAGTGTTCTCCGTTCGAAAAAAAAAAGAAAATTCATTTACTTTCGGGTCCGAAAAGAAAATTAATATTCTCTTTCTTCCGCTTTTGATATCAAGTGCTTTAACGAAGAAAACAAACACGACCTATTGTACACATACAAGGTCATCGATCTTTATTGAAATGACCGATCAAGAGTATAGAGATTTCTTTTCTTCATCTTTTTCCTTTTTTTTTATTTTATATACATATGTTGTCCGATATGGGTAATTTGGTATTTGTAACGATTATTTGTTTTTTTTATTTGCAACATCTTGCTTAGATGATGAGACAATCAAATTTGAAATTTCCATATGCGGATGACGATTATATGTCTCTTGTGAATAAAGAATGAATGTTAAAAATACAAGGCTAAGATATGCACCAATCATAGTTAAATCTTTGAATTTCGCTACTAGATACTTAAGCTAATTTGATGAGTTCTCTTAAGTGAATTAATCAATAATTGAATTGTGTATAGGTTCTATGGCAAAAAATTGATCGATCAATTCTAAACGGGAATCAAACAAATGTACAAGAACAACTTACATTGATTGCTTTCGATGGAACAGTTTATTCAAACAAAGATCATTATCGTCTTGAATCTGACTATGTTGGATCGTATAACTTAATAATTGACCGTGTTAATGAAGATGATCAAGGAGAATATCAATGTCAAATTAATACAGAACCAAGAAAAACGAAAAGAATTTTTCTTACTGTTCAAGGTAATTAAAATTAAAATAACTGATTGAATAATGTGAATTGCTAATCACAGTTGAAAATAGTTTACACTGTGACACATTGTTTTTAATAGCTAAAATGATAGAAATGGGTTAAGATGTTTATCATTAGTGTCTTGTCTTTGCATACTGTGACACATTACAATTAACATTTTCTTTTCGTCACGGATACGGATGTGACCTCTGCATGCTGTCCGTTATAATGTTAATCAATAGATGATGAACAGTAGAGTTCACATTGAAATTGCTTAGAAAATTCTTTGAAAGCTATCTTATATAATTTAACAAAAAAAAAAAATCTTCTCGACATATATTATTTTTTATTATTTGGGGTGATTTCTTTTTGTTCGATGAAGAAGGTTTCATCACCCATTGTTAATATATAAACAATGAATTTTCATTTTTAGTTCCGCCACGTATTGTTGATTTTCTTCCAAATCCACCGTTACATCCAATTCTTGCTGGATCATCTTTAAAATTATCATGTCGAGCTGAAGGCACCCCTGCGCCTACTATACGATGGCGTATTCGCGACGTCGATATAAATCGAAGCGGCGATCTATGTAAGTAGACATGTTAATGAGTGTATGTGTGTTCAATCCTTGATCAATCATCCTTTGACAAATTCACACGCACGCATTCAAGCTCACATCGACTTTTAAGCTACTTATACTGATCATATTGCGCAAAGACAGCAAGAGACAGACAGACAGACAGTTGAAGAACAATAGGACACCCTTGTATGTGAAATTTTTTCATCGAGCACGTGTCATGATGTCCGTCTAAGGTCAAGTAGCCTGTATACTTGAACTTTTTTTTCTCTTTTAATTTTTAATCTTATCTATTCATTTTTAAAAACATTTTTTGTTTTGCTTTGTTTGTTAGTACCGCCTGATAATAGCAATATATGGTTTATTCCATCTATAACCAATACATTTCCACGTACAGTTGAATGTATTGCTGATAATGGTGTTTTACCAGCGTCGAATAGAGTATTTACAATCCATGTTGAACGTACGTAGAAAAACATCTTTTTAGGAGACAATAAGTACCAAGCACAATCAAATATTTAGATTCACCTGTTGTCATTGTTAATAATGATTTAATTCAAAGTGAACGATATCAAAATGTAACCATTGACTGTCATGCAGTAGGTCGGCCATTTGCTCGAATATTTTGGGAAAAAAATGGCAAAATGATTGAAAAGAATAAAATGACGCACACTCGAGTTAATCAAACAATGTCAACAAGTCGATTAACAATTCAGGTAGTATGCGTACTTATATGTATTCTATTCATAGGCAAATATGTATTTGAATAGATGAACAATGATGATGATTTTGGACAATACAATTGTATTGCTGAAAATATACACGGTCGAATGGAATCTATTGTTTATGTGCTACGTATGTTATTGAATTTTGAAGTTTTATTCTATTTTTTTTCCTTCAAATAAAATATCTTTTAGAAGAAGCAACGACGACACCAATAAAAGATGAAAAAACTCATCGATATTCAAAACATTCAGCTAAGACAAATTCAAATCGATTATTAACAAGTATTGAAAACAAATTAATTTTTTTTTGTTACGTAAGAATAACCTTTTTTCTCTCTTAGTATCTCCTCGTCAATTGATATTACCAACAAGGACCACAACAAAAATGGTTTATACTGAACGTGATATTCAAATTAGTTCATCATCTTATCGTTTATCGACGACAAATCTATTGACATATCTTCCGTTTTTATTTCAAATTTTTACTATTTGCAGATAAAAAACACTATTTAATTTGCACGCGTGTGTGTGTGTCCCTCTGTGTGTGCTACAGTGATATTTAATTATATATATAAATATATATTTATTAAAAGAAAAACAACTAAATCTTATATCAATCATGCGCATTCGGCTTCATCAGCCTCTCGTACGGCACGACGATGATTTCGAAAATGAACAGTGCATACAACAATAAGAACAATTAATATAGTTAGTGTAACAAGTGCATATGTATAAGCAACACTTATCATAGTTAAAAGATACACATTTTTTGTACACCAATTTTCAGGCTCTTCAGTTGTTTGTTCAAAATGTGGTATACGATAACGGTATATGATATGGTTGCCATATATAAACCAAACAATAAGAAATAACGTTGTGAGAACATCCATGAATGTCTAAATTGAAATTTTTTTTAAACTTAAGTTACTATAATATTTCTGAGAGATTTAAGAGAGAAATCACTTGATTTTTCTTAATCTGATCTATCGATGGTGTGAAATGGATCAATCATTAAGCTTTATTATAAGTTATCATCACTAGACATGTACAGGATAATATTTTGACTGGCAAATAAATCTAAATGGGCGCAGTCGGAGTGATTGAGAGAAAGTTTTTTTTAGGATTCAACATCTAAGAGATATTGGTGTAACAGTTAAATAGTGAGAATTTTATCTATGATATAGATGATAAAAAAATATGCTGAAAATAATTTTACTATTTATTCGATTTTTTATTTTTTTCTTCTCAACGAATTTTAGTGATTGGCCATCATCTTTAATTAACTTTTTGTTTTTGAAAAATAAATTCTACCACAATGTAGACTGTTCACTTCTTAGTGATTCGTCTACTTTTGCTTTATCCCATCAGGATATTGCTAAACTACAAAAAAAAAACTTTCAGAATCGGAACCAAAAAATGTTTGTATATTGCTCTATCCTACTTGTATGTACATGTATAGAAGAGTTAATAAAAATATTAGTACCTCCGATAAATTTTAAAAAATTTCTTCTATTATTAAACGACTAGGTTTACTAATCGTGCTATTATGTTTGCTCTATGTTCAATAGAATAAATTTCTCCATTGCGTATTTTCTTCTCATCATAAAACGTACCAAAGAAATAGAAACAAATCAATTAGTTTTTCCTGCGTCGATCACATTCAAAAATAGGTCACTGTCACCTCGTTCGATGCGTAAATAAAGATATAACATCCATTAGAATTATTCGTAACAGGATGCAATTCGAAGAACTGTTTAGTAATTATTTATATTGATTCCTCTAAATAAAGCGATAACATCTTGTCGAACAAGATAGAGTTATTTATTGCTCTTATATACAAATAACCGGATAATTAAATAGACATGATTAAATCTCTCATTAGAAAGCAAAGTTTTCGAACTGATCCTTATAATTAGATTTTGTTCGAAGAATATAAAAAAATTTAATCTGATTGTACTCCGAAGAAATAAGATATCAATATCGTAACTCCCTCTGAATCGCATGTTCGTTAAGGCAAATATTTTTATACTAAGATAAAGAAAATAACCTTAATTAATATATATATGGAGAACATTCGAAAAAAATTTGATTTAACTATTTTATTATGAAATTTGAATAGGAAGGATGAGCCTGAAATGTGACAATTTCCCAATGATTTTCCTTTTTTGATTAGTTTTGACTTATCTAACACGCAAAACAATTATAGTAATATGTTTTTAATGAAGTCGATGATTTTTCTGTAATTAAACATAATGAGCTCATCTTTCCATAATCATAATTCTATACGAATGAATGTTTCACATAGGAAATCTATTCGGCAGAAAGTTTTAAAATTTCTAGGTACCGACGTTTCCTTTTTTTTCTTATTCTAAACCCTGGATGTTTTGTTTTCATGATAGCTAAAACGGGAGTTTGGCATTTTTTTCTTGTCATAATTAATTTAAAATGTAAGAAAAGTTTTTCCAAGAATAAACGTTACATTAATGAAAGCTAAATAATTCCCGTGATAAAATTCTATTTTTATCTATTCCTACCGATCGACTATTCGTTTTGTATAGTTATTCAAAATGTTTCATTATATATTTATTGTTTGTAATTCTCTAAATAAAACTTTTCTCATGGGATCTCTCCCTAAGTTTGCAGTTATCTCTATTGTTGTGTCGGACCTTTCTATCAAATGATTAAAAAGTCAAAAGGTTCTTTGACATGAGTTTATCTTCCATGTTATATGAATCGAATAATTAATCAATTTACTCTCTCGAGTCTGTAACTCTCAAAAGAGAATTAGCACAAGATTAGTTTTTTTTTGTATATCAACAAAACTGAATTAGGATCAAACAATACCAACTATTTTCATCGTCAATAATTAGCCGAAATATTTTTCTTCTCAACAAATATATGATATATGTAATAATCAACTATACCGATCCGTTACGAGTGTCAGAAGCTTCTTCTTCAGCAGGGCCACGACGACGATTATATTGTTTCCAAAGAACTTGAAGTAATTTTAATGAAGCAATGGCACCGCCAACCAGTACAAAAACTGGAATGTTACGGTTTAATGGACATTCTTCTAAATTTGATATACCTTGAAAAATTACAAAAAAGAATTGGTTAGAATGAATAGGTGTCACAAAAAGCTTACCAACACTCATCATAATCAATGGTAAAATAAGAGATACAGCGAATACAAATGAAGCAGTCTCTAATTAAAACAACAAAAAGAAATTGTCAATATTTCTTTCTTTTTTCCAATAGTTTTTTTCTACTTGTTTGAAGTAAAATCGAAGCTGTTTTATGAGTAAAGTCAAAGAAATGTTCAGCATCACTGTATTCTTCATAAATACGAGAAAATACCGAGATGTTTGTTGGTCTTTCCTTGAGTTCGTTAACGGACCACCGTGATTGGTAAGGAGTATTAGTTTCATCACCGTACTGAAATAAAAGAAAAGAATTCGTAAACTAATATTGCCAAATATCAATTTATTTCAATATCAATAATCTGATACCTGCTTTTCAACATTCAAAGCCATTTCCAATATTTACTCTCACAATCAGGTGGAATAAAAATAAAAAACTTACATTTTCCATATAACATGGCAGATTTTCGCGTGTTCGTGCGAGTTAATTAGGAGATGAGTTTGTATGTTGTTTTTTCCTGTTTTTATTATTATTTCTTTATCTAAAATTCTTTTCTTTAATGTCATTTCATTCTTTCGAAGGTAGAAAAACATGACACAAGCAGCAGTCATTACTATTCCCGAGCAAAAAACTAATCATAATCTATCAGTTTTTGAGAGGCGAACACAGGAGACGCGAGAGAAAACGAGCGAAAGAATGGAGGAAGAGAAAGTCAGCACATCATTGATGAATTTTGACAAGACTGCATACAAGAGAAAATCTACATGCATGCATCTGACTCGTTTAGAGAACATAATTGATCAATAATAATTTTCCTCTTTTGTTTTTCAGTTCTTAGTCATAGCCGAATTTTTATGGTTTTAAAATACGTGTCAAGCATTTCATTCGATCTATTCATTTATTTTTCTATGCTTGCAAAGAAATCTTCATTGGCTGAAAATGCCCAAACGATATCCATTAAATCGACTATAGTCTTTGTTGGACATGCAATCGTAAATTGGGGCATGTCGTCATTCGACTTTTCTCATAGTATTCTTCAACAAATTTCACTCACACGTATTGCGTTTTGCATGTTTTTTTTATTTGGTCGACATTGCCTTGATTAGTGTACCAATTATGCGGAAAGTCAAAACATCATTCAACGATAAAATTTTAAAATTCTTTTCTTATTGTCTTTAATATGTATCAATTATTTATTATCGCGTACCTTGTTGCTTATGCGTTGTTGTTGTTCTTGTTTCGGAGGATTGCTCATTGAATTCGATGTTGCTTATATTTTCATATTGTTTTGCTAAAGATACATATATATATATATAAATGAACTCATTCTATATATTCATAAGAAAAGAAAAAGTAATATAAAGAAAATAGAGAGAAGAAAAAAACCCAAACAGGCAGTCAAGTGAATTAGAATTAGTATTTGTACTCTTTCTCTCTCTCTCTCTCTCTCTCTCTCTCGTTCTTTTACATATCCTCCCTAAATCATGATTTACTCATAAATTGCATCAGTAAGATTGAGTATGCTGAACTAATTAATCATGTAGTCCAGGATATCGTTTCTTTCAATTACGTGTACATATATTCTAGTGGCTACAAGCGAGATTTTCAATGTGTTCTATTATGCAAAACTGTTGACTGGTAGCACCATTAGTGTTCATAAGACTAAGTTCAGAATATTCGAATTTATTTTCTCAAATGAATTTCATGTTACGATACATAAAAAAAATTTATGTTTTTTCCCAATATGATGACTTTATTCAAATCTTTTTGTTTTTCGACTAAAAGAAAAGCGTAAACGTTCAGCATACGAATACGAACTAATTTCAATGTACTTCGAAATCTTTATAGGAAATAATATAAGAAATTTATAGTAAATAGATCAACGAAATTTCTAATTGAATAAATGCGTTAAACATTAATTTCCGGATAAGTATGCATTGTCATACTATAGTTTAAGTTTTTCTCATAGTTGAGAAAGTGTAATAAAGTTTGGATTACAAAAGACTCGCCTTCCTTACTTAATTGAAACCAATTAAACAAACAAAAGTGACTTACTGTTGAGAAAACATTCTTATTTTCTTTTCATAAAACAGCTGTTCAATTGCATATAGAATTTCTACGATGAATAGTTAATAAAATGCATTGTAAAGTCAAAAGTGTTTCTATCTGACTTCTCGTAAGTCTCAACTTCATTTTGCGTGATGTTTTTGGAATAAAAATATATCGTTAAAGATTGATAACTGGCTAACAAAAAGAAACCCTTTTCAAAGTTTCCCTTATCTTTATTTAATTATTATAAAATCTCTATAAATAATAGAGCAACATGCGTATGAACCTTTTTCCTAACAATATTGCTATAATAGCTATGGCAATTCAATAAACGCTGATGTTTATTCTTTACAATGGCTAACAATGGAGAAACTTTTGTATTGTTCGACTTAATCAAGAATTAGCTGACAAGGAAAAATAATTTGTGCTACGCGCAATATTTTTTTAATTCATAAAATTGCATTGAACATATCAATATTTTCCTTCAGCCTCTAATACGTGAGAAAAAAAAATCGAGTGATGAAATATCTGCAGCTACTTACCGAACCTGCTGAATGTCTGTAACCGTTAAGTAAAAATGCGTCAACACGTAGAGAAAACAATGCTTTCCAGCACAATCAATTTAGGGTTAAAATCCAGAACTCGCGTAGTTCCTCCAACGTCACTATATGAATAGACAAATGTGTGTTAATTGAAAAACCTCTAGCAAGTTATAGTTGCTTTTCAAAAGTAATCAATGCCCAGTAAAAACAAGCGATCTCATTTATTAATCTACTTCAAAACAAATATATCTTTTTTCTAGCCTTGCAGCTGTTCGGCCGCTGTTTTTACATTCTACTTTTTTAATTGAACATTATTATTATTTTAAACCTTGATATCACTATACCAACCAGATCTTAACACACTAGTCAATATAGACTACTTCAGGCACAACGAGACACATTTCCTCTGACGTGTAACTTTTTACGAAGGTTATTTTTCTGCATACACATATGATCAAGTTCTTGAATCACAGAGTTCTAGGATAGATTCAGTGACATGCACTACACCTATGTTGAATTTTTCAGCAGGTTCAAGCTGAAAACGAAGATATTTTTTTATTGCATTCTAAACAAGAATCTGTTCCTTTCAATCCCAATATTTAGTTTAAATAGCAGGTTTGTGCCCGCTTCGATGTACACACTATGCCATATTTCTACTGGAAATCGACTCATGGTGAGAAAAAACTTTCCATGTAGATTTTTACCCTCAGAAGTTGTCTAGAGGATGTATTAGATGCTTAAAAAAAAAAGAGAAACTTTATAATTTTAACAGACACATGTTGTAGCGTTCACCAAGAAACATGTGGTGAATACGAAAAACATAATTCGAATTAAAAAAAATAGTTAACTCTCACAATTTATAAAAAAAAAATGCATAGATTCTATTGAGGAAAAACAACAAATTCACATGATTTTATTTCACGGTTAAAACATTAAATAAAAATTTACTACTGAATATAATACAAGCACAAATTATGAAACTATCGAGCATCATAAACAATTAATCGTTTTGTTCGTTTTTTATATAATATTCGATAACCACATTCATTACCTATGGAAAGAAAAAGAAAATTATAACAAATATAAACTTTCTACGAATATCTTACATCGAATAACATCCGTAGATTTTAATTCATTTTCTTTATGACATTCACCACAAATATAAATCATTGCTTTTGATTGTGAAACACTACCACCTCCTGTTGTCGTCGTTGGCTGTGGTGTCATAGACTGATCGTATATAGGAGTTTTATCCATTTATCTACAAACTACAAAACAACAAATGTTTATTTTATTTATGATCTTTCTTTCGTTCGAAATTTATTTCTTTTCTTTTTAATAACAAAACACAAACAAATAGTTTAGTTTTATTTATGAGCTTTGCGTTGTGCAAGAATAGCTGCTTGAAGTTCGTCACGTTTCTTCTTGGCTCGTTGATGACTTCCTAACTGTAAAACAAAAATTAGTTTAGAAATAAAAGAGAAGCTTTTCTTCTCGTTGTACATACACGAGCTTTGACATATTTAAATGCGCGTTTATCACGACCAACTTTCATCAATTCCATAGCACGTCGTTCGTATGGCATAAAACCAACAAGTTCACGGACAAGATCACGAACGAATTTTACATGTTTACTTTTTTTCTACGATGCAAAATCAAGAAAAATTTGGTTCTAGAAAAATTAATCGATGCAATTTACTTGAACACGTCGTGTTGGTCGTACACGTTTCGAGACAAATTTTTCAACTTTACGACCTTTATGAAGACCAGTTGCGATCTCATATTTAGGTACAAATGCTAATTTAGCAGTCTTGACAGCTTCAGTTGACATGATGTTATCTAAAATAATAATTTTCAATGGATTTTGTTTTTCAACTCATTCGATCTATGTTTATCGAACTGCATATAACGGAGAAATTTTCATCGGTCCATAAAATATTCTATGGACTATGGATATTTGTATAAATTTTTTTCAGATGAAAAATAAATTAAATTAAACGAAAAATAAATGTTAAATGAAGTTTTTTTATGATAATTTTCATTTAATTTATGTAAAGGTGGATATGAAATCGTTGCTATTGGTTAGATCAGCAGTTGTCATGGACCGTATATGAATCATTACTTTCAGCATGAATGATGATTGACTAACACACGAAAAAATATATACAGTGCTCTACAATCAAAGCGATTTGCTCTCATCTAGTAGAAATATAAGAATGAATATATGTGCAGTTTATTGTGTTCATTTACATAGAAATGAACATAGAGATGGATGTTCAATTCGAAATTTAAAAATGGTTGAAATCAAACTGTGGTTTTACTTTGCAACAATGGTGGTGTGATGGTAGGCGTTGAACTGAGGTGAAGAAAAGTTTCTTTTATTGTTCATCATTGAATCTGATGTTAAAAGAATCCTTTTCTTTTGATATTCATTTCAATCAAATATTGTTACAAAAGTATGATAGAGACAGGAAATATTTATGATAGACTATTCTGGTTACTTATAATAGGAGATTTTTCAGGGAATAGCACCGAATGCGTATATATTTAATCATTTGCTATTGCGATAACTAATATGCGGAGCTTAATAAGAATATACAAACAAGAAATTGGTAAAATCTGTTTTTGAAAATTCAAAAGACCTAACATTCATTAATATCATATGAAATCATTTTTCGGATCGAAGATTCTATTTCGAAAGAATATAATGTTCAGGATATCTCAAAAGGCATTAGATCTAGGAATATCTTGAATTTCAGATTGAAATCTTACTATTTTATTTTCTAACAAATATCGAATCATGAACGAAAATGCAGTAAAACTTCCTCAATTGAACTTGAGAGCTGCATCGGCAAGAAACGCTGTTAGCATTTTTCTAATCTTGCTTTAAGTTCCTACATAGAATAGAAGCCTACCCCCTGGGTTAAATTTCTCCGTTGAAAATCAAGGTTTACTTCAGGAAAAATGAACTAAAACCGATGAAAGAATGAACAGTTCTCTATCAAATAACGCAAAAGCTGGCATCAGGACATGCTTTGTTACAAAATTATAGCTTGCGGAACAGAGACACCACCCATGGGCTTCTATTCTGTAGGGATGGGGGGGGGNGGAATCAGTGCTTTTTTCTGTGTTGAAACTATCAGCTTCAATAGTATAAGACTTTCTCTCTTCCATTACAAATCTTCAATAGGATCTTCGTTTTAAAAACAAATAATTATTCGAGCTGTGAAAATATTAGATACAGCTAGTATTTAAGTCTTTCGTGATCTGCACTAAGCCCAAGAGAATAACCTACCTGATTAACAGATTTTCACGCAAACACAGATACCAACCGTATAACTTTGTCTGGACGAAGTCAGATTGAAAAGATGTTATGAAAATTGTCTAACGACAGACCACTAAGTATTGAACGATGTCTTAAACTATGTAAGATTTCTAGTGGTATAACCACACATTCCAAGCTCAAAATCAATTTTTATCGGGAACTACGTCGTTGAATATCAACTGTATTGGAATATTCTACTCCATTATTCTACATAAACGTTATTAGATAACTATTCTGAGAAGGAAGTACTCGAAATTATTTGGATGACTTTTATTGTAACAAATAAAATTATTTCAACAATCTTTTCTGAACAGTCAATTCAACTTTTCCGTTTTCATAGTTTTACACAAAAGAAGCTATTTCGTCGTTTAAAATGAACAATAATTGAATAACCTGAAATAATGTATTTCATTGTTGTGCACATCACCTCGCTGGTTCCTATTGATCTGCAATAGTTTCACTTTAAATAACAAAAAGCTATTAGTGCCATACCTGCAGGGATTGAATTATGACATACAAAGAAATTACTTTTTAAAGGTCAGCGATGGGGGAGTTGTAAATTTGTATCCTTGGCACGTTAAACTTCTTTTAGTTTGTGTTTCAAAATATAAAATTTAAAAGCTTCTTTGTTTTTCAGATAATCATGCAATTAAACGATTTAGAACAAGAAGATGAAGAATTTCAAAATTTTCTTAAACAAGTAACACTATCAAAAAAGCCTGATGAAAATAAACAAGCCAAAAACAACGATGAACGTATTGCTGTTAGACCTGAACCTGGTACGAATGAAAAATTAGCATTACAGGAAAGTGAAAATTTTTTAAAAATCTAGGTTTTTGTTTAAAAACTAAACGTATTGGTGATGAAGCAAACAATGAAAAAGTTTTCATTAATGTTTGTATGTCATCTCAAATCAATGCTCCACGAGAAATCACCGAAGAAGAACTGATTGAAATAGTTAAATCAGAAGATCCAGGAAGATATCGTGTACCTATTAGTTTGGGTGAACCAATGGCTGATCTTGATAAACGTGAGTTTCGAAAGCAAACGGAAACATTAACGAAGTTTTTGTTTTTTGAATTTTATTTAGATGGACAAGCTTGCACGATTTTTACTGTTATTATTCATCCGGACTTCTATCGTCGCGCACATTCAAGTCCGACATTTATGAATTTCTTACTTACGTTGATGTATGAAGGTTTAGAAAGCAAATATCCACAATTTAAACTTGATACAGGTAAGTCAAATGATAATTTCGCTCACTATATTATTTTCGTTTTCCACAACACATACGTACAAATAAAGAAGCATCAATACCAATGAGTTTAAAAAAAAAATACGCATAAAGAAATCAAAAATGCAGAATAGATACATATACATGTAGTGGACACGTTGAGAAAAGAATGTCAAATAAGATCAAATATAATAGCTTAGTGCATTGCATTGCAAAGAACACTCGTCTTGCGTTTGTTGCATGTAAAATGATTGTGAGTATCACAATGGATTTCTGTTTTTTTAGCCTCTGTTCTGTTTTGAGTATCACATGAGTACGGACGAAAAGAAAAAGTAAAAACAATATCACACTAGCGCTGGTTAAAAGAACGAAAACAAAAAGAAAATGGAGAGCGTCGGGAATAAACAAAAGAACAAACATGGACGGAGTTGGAAAACACACACAGTTATACCTGTGATAACAGCCTATTCGTTAATATCACTCATGTCGTCGGCACTATTATGCTCATCGTGATCTTCTTGATCAGATAAATGATTGTTTGTACCGTTCGTTGCTATTGGTAATTCACATTGATATTTTTGAAGAGCTAATTCAATACGACGTTTTTCAATACTAATACGTTCATTTTCACATTCATTAGCTGCTAATTTAACATCAAGATTTTTTCTTTCAATTAATAAACGTTCTTTATCATAGATAATTTTTTGACTTGTTAATTCAAGCGTACGTTTACGTTTGATTAATGATTCAAGACGAAGTGAACTTTGTTGTTGTCCATAGGATTTTGTTGCATTCATAGATTGATGAATATGTGATGGTTTTAAATATTTACGTTGTTTATCTAATGTTCGTTTTGATACTTGTCCATTGGTGGCATTTTTCATTGTTATATGAACATGTTGCGGCGTAAGAAATGATGAAAGCGATGTCGATTGAAGATTTGTCGGTGGGCTTGAACAAATATCATCATTACCAAGTAGACTAGCACTTTCATCACCTACAGAATCTAATTGTCCATTAACGCCATTTGCAAGATCTGATGATGGTGAGTCTGCTTTATCTGATGACTAAAATATATATAAAAGAAAGAAATTTTAATTAAGTTTGACAGAGCATTAATTTTTCTTTGATGATAATTAAATTTAATGGTTGTTCACGGATGAAAACATTAGGTTTTTTCCAAAAAAAAAATTTTTTCTATCACAATGAATAGAAAAATAAGCTCATTCGCTATTCCGGAAGGATTGCATGATATTCGACAGTACTGAAAAAATGCCCGGATGGAGATGACTAGAATGAAAGCTTGATTAACTGAAGTAGGAATCAACATTGAAACTGTTAGCTTCGTATTTCTTTAGTTTACGAGGTAATCTTTTTTTCTTTCTTGACAAAGTCTCTCGTTATCGTTTCAAAACTGATTCACCTTATTTTTACTAACGACAAACATGTTTCTTTTTCCTTTTCTTTTTGAATCTACTTCAATTGATGAAGCAAATAAAAGTCACATATTAGAACGAAAGAAACATGAATAATAGTTTCGCAACTGTTATGTAAGACAAAATGAATAGAAAAAGTTGCGAAGAAAATTTTCCCGAGCTGCCATAAAAATTTAAATTCAAATGACTAACCCGTTCGTTGAATGTTGTTTCATGATGGTGGCTATTTCCATTGTTGATATGTGCTTGTAATTGTAAGGCTTGTTGATGATGTATAGCCGCAGCAACGGCTGCATGATGAACAAATTGCGTTGATGATGATATTGGAGCACGACATATAGATAATATTCGAGTATATAAACTCATTTGTTTATTTGATAGAGATGATGTTGAACCAGCTGTTTGAGCTGCCCGATAGGCAGCTACTTCACGTTTGGCTTCACTTTGTAATTTTTTCCATTTACGTCGTACATCTTCAACAGTTCGTTCGACTTGTGGATATGATGCATTAAGTGTATCGGTTATTTGTTTCCAAATAGCTTGCTTTTGTGCTATGACACTTTTTGATGCTTCTCGTGAATGCAGTAATTCTTTATACATATCATATTGTTCAATTATATTGATGACTTCATGATCGGTAAAGTTTGGTTTTCGACGACGACCAACATGAAATGCGTCAATCGACGAATAATCCGTTGGTTGATCATTCATTTCGTTGTATGTATGTGTGTGTGTGTTTGTCTATGGAATGATGGTATAAGATTTTAAATGTGGATAAGGGATAAGAAGAACGGTTCGATCTGTAATAGAGAAAGAGAAGTCGTCTCGAATGACAAGTCATAAAAAAAAAAGTAATCGTAAGAGAGTCTAAACCAAATACGACACAACGGTGCATTGAGTAGGTAGACACGATGTGTTGTTGCTAGGCACCGATCTTCTCTCCTTCGTGTTCTTTCTGTCTTTACATTGTGCAAGTGACTGAGAACGAGCGTATGAGCGAGAACTATACTCTTAGAGTGTCCCACCGTCACTACGTAGTCATAGTTTTATTCGTATTATTATTTCTCTTCTTCCTTTCTTCTTTCTCTTCTACGTCCTTATTATGTGCGTGCGTCTCCCTAATCCAGATATACTATATATATATATATATATAGTATATATATTAAAATGCATTTTCGTCCCTTTCTTCGTAGCCTCCGTCGTCATCGTCTTTTTCAAAAAAAAACTGAAAGAGAGTAAAATAAGAAAATTTTTGTGATGGGCGGTGTCTCTAGTACCATTACTTTCACTTTGCGTACAACAATAACAAACGACTGCAAAAAAACGAGTCGAAGAAGAAGAAGACGACGAGAGTGGCGATGAGGGGAAAAGTGGGCACATGATGAGAACAGGAAACGATCATAGACCTGCTCATGAGAATGCTCACGTAAACTATGTGGAGTGAGCGCTAACGACACTTCTTTCTCTTCTTTCTACTTCACTTATTTGCAATGAATACAAGAATCCAGAAAATTTGTGATGCCTTACTGCCGCTGAACGGCAATGAACGAGCGTCTTAGTTTTTTCTATTTTTTCTATTTCAATCATTCAGACCTTCGGTCTATGCGTGGGAAATGCCGTATTTTTTTAACAAATGGATTGCTCATTCTTTTCTTTTACCTCGTTGCTATTTGGTTATATCTAATGTTTGATGTAGCATGCGGGTGTCTTATGTCTTTTGTTCTCTTTTCTCAGGTATACAAAGCGATTACTTTACTCTTCTCTCAATTCCATTTATCATAAATGCTACCTACGTGAAATTTTTATATGTTGATCATAGGAAAATAACTTGCCTTTGAAAATTATCTTACGGTTCGATCGATCGAGTGTAATACTGTGCTTGCTTATTCATGCGTAAAGACTAGTCGTACTATGATGTAATATATGACCTGGGTATATGCATGACACTTGTTTACTCCGTTTCTTTTTTGTCGCTGAATCTTAATCGAAAGTCACCGTCGATTTCTTTCTCCGTCTCTCTGTCCCTCTCCGTCTCTCTTTTCTTTTTTACCTAACGATAGAACAGCAAAAAGCAACTGTATTTACCATCTTACTACCTTGGTTACAAACAAGTGATTTAGTTGATCTAAATCATAATCATAACATTTAAAAGCTTGAATTATAATAAAAAGAATAAAATTGCATTTCATTAACGATAGCAAAATAAATTTTTCATTAATACAGACTGGATTAAACTGAAAAATCGTAAATTTATGGGACAATTAACTGAACAGTTTATTCGAGCTCGTGCTAAACCATTCATCGTCGAAGTTGATCAACAAACGAATAATACAGAACAAAGAATGTCTGTCTATTTATGGTTGTTTCTTTTGAATAATTGTTCAACATATTTCATTTAGAGAGACAAGTTCAATCGTTGATAGAGGGTGTGTTGTAATATTACGTAAAATCTATCAATAAAACATTCATTTTTTCTTTTTCTATACAAATATAATAGATCGTTACCGGAATATAAAATTATCCGTGAACCACTTGAAGGTGATCCGGAGTTTCTAATTATGGATATTCGATTGCCTAAAGTGGTAAGGTTCATTCGGGGATGTTCGATAAAAGTCAATAGAACTTTACATTTGTAGAAATCTGCTAAAACACTAACACTTGATATCGGTACTGATCGTATTGTATTATCGACACGCTCAAATATTTATCATTTGGATGTATGGTTACCGATTGATATCGATTCAGATGAATGCGGTGCACAATTTGATAAAGCTACTCAAGTAAAACCTCGCTTAATTCTGTTTTGTTTTTTTACATATTTTTAATATATTATAGGTCTTAACAATCACCATGCCTGTTCTTCAAGATACACAATAGGGAACTAGCATTTTTTCTAAATCTATTCTTGATTTAAGATTTGCCAGATAAGAATGACATTCCATCATTGTTAATAACCAATAAATAAATGAAATATGTTTTCAACATTAACGATTTCTCTCATTGTTTTCTTGATCGTGAAATACTATTCTTCAAATTGTTTTGTTTATGATTCGTATCAGAAGTGATTTATCTTTTCCGGACAGTTAGAAAAATGATTTTTAGATTAAAATAATCCCAAATGAGTTTAAATCTACAGTGGTGTGCAAAAATAATTGCCGTTAGTATCTGATAAAGTTACTCTACTGAACATGATGAATATTAAAAGTATTTTTTTTTTATAAATAGATTATACATACACAAGAGTACACAAATATAATAATCGATAGTTAGCTTTTTTTCCTTCAGCCAAAAAAAGCAGTAAACACTATAGCTTCATCGATACACTCAAATAGCTTAAGATCGCTTTGCCTATGTACATGGATTATGTGATAGCCTCAGATGTGTGTTTGGAGAAGAGTGGAAGAAGCTATGAATCTCCTTTTGGTTCAAGATCCAGTAGCCGGAGTTTCAGCTCGATACGATGTCTCCCGGATTTTTAAAGCGAGAAAGAAATACAATACAACCTTCTCAAATTTTGACATCCATTTGACGCTGAAGATGAATTTTCAGAATTTGTTCACGTGGGGCAAAATTTTATCTACTAGCCGATGCCTTTCTACTATCGAAATTTCAAGTCGGCCAGACAAGTCATTGTCGAGATAGTTAGAAAAATTGGTCCGATCACCATTTTTTCTGGCAATTCTACACACCATGATCCTCCGTTTGTTTTTACAATGCCATGTCGTTGGGCCTCATTTGTATTTCGTTAGATACTATGGACGTAGAGTTTCCTTAAGAAGACGATTTTCGTAGCGCTACGGTTGCTCTAGTCGTGGTAGTGTAATATGACTGTTTGATATTCTAGAAAAGCGGTAGATACTCGAATCATAATGTCTCTCGCGCTACTGAGCGACACTTTTTGAGGATTCCCGCTCTGATTAAAATCTATAGCACACCCTTAATTACTGATAAAAATCTCAGAAGAATCCGTTCATGCGCTTCACATATATGACTCGAAAAAATGCGTAGGTGAAGTGGCAATTCTTTTTCACTTCACTGTATAGCTGGCCTCTAAAGAATAATGACGTACTTGCTGATTTTGCACCGTAGAATACGAGATTTGCAAGAAAATTTAACATGAAACTTATGAATATTTAATAGGAAATCAATTGTTGTAAGGGAAAATTTTATACATAAAAAGTTTTATTTTAACATCGGGAAACATGCGAAGTCTGATAATTTTCAGTTATTTTTTCAGTGTGGAAAATTTTTCTATGTATTTCAAGTATAGCTTTAAAAGCGATAAATCATGTCGAGTGGTCTTTTGATAAGAGATTAGTAAAATAGTTACACTAATAAAACAATGTTGCGCAGACGTCGCACTTGAGAAAAATATATTTAATGTATGATTCTAGCTGTGTATTTATCACGTCTGTTGATTCTTCTATGGGATTTCAATAAAACCTATGTGGGTTGTGAAGTAAACTGTTGATATCGCAAATATAGAAAAATACGCGGCTGAGACTAATCCATTAAAAAAAATAGAATAAAATATTTTATTCTTAGGACCCTGAGAGAGTCAAAGATTGCTTTTTGTTAACGAGAAATCTCCGGAACAATAATTAAAATGTTGCAAAATCGTAGGTGGTAAAGAATCTGACTGGAAACTGTAATCCGACCCGTGTCTTCAGAATCTGAAAGACATGCAATGATGTGCGGCGTTTAAAGCTCTATCGATTGGTAGATGTAGATTTACATGATGTGGTTGAACGCTGTAGTTTTCTGCTGGTGGTAACAAGATAACTAGCTGAACATAATTTTCAATTACCATACTACTCACTGCCACTGAAAGATCAAATACGATGCGATATCCCAATAACTCTTCTTTATCGAGATACTTATTCTTAAGCGAACCGACGTAGAAGCCAATGCTCTATCGGATGTTACCATTCCAAAATAAAAGTGATATCATTGTGAAAACATACCAGAAACATATCTCGTAATTTCGGCGATTGTAAGGTAAGGGTAGAATGTCCAATCATTACTACCCTAGATTTTATCAAATCTATTTGAATCTACTGCCAAGTGACACAGTGTAATATTCTGCATCGAAGCATGCATATATTTTAATAATTCTCGAATTGATAAATGTGACCCCTTGTGTGTCCCTAGCCTTTTCTAGTTTATCAGTGCGAGTGCTGATTTGATCTGAATACGATCAATCGTAGAAACTTCCAATACTAATCATTCCGATAGAAGCTGTTTACCGTTTCATTGAGAACAAATAGACATTCAAACAGTAGCATTAACTACATTTTAAATATTTAGCATCAAAAGGAACCTTTAAAAATAGAGAAATATTTCATCAATAATTTATTGTAAACAAGCAGAACGAGAGAATCCGTCGCAAATTGTATAAGAAAAAAAATTTAGTAGGTCATGTGAAGAAAGACAATTATAACAAAAGATAAATAATAATCACTCCTCATAAAGAGGAAAAAAATAATTTTTAAAGTAGTCAAAATAAGACGATCAGGCTTGCTTACAATAAAGCAAATATGTAAATGTGAGACGTCAAAAGTTTTTGCTTTATTAATAAAAAGATACACCATTCGACTGGCGTATTAACGTTTAGTCATTTAAACAAAGATCATTTAATTAATTAAGTATGTTTTAACTGAACTCGTAATTCGATTGGCTAGTTTAGTTTTAATTCGAGTAGCGTTTGACCCCATACGCTTTCATTCTAAACTATCTGTTATTGTGGCAAAAGTCAAGCAATTCATCTTTTTTTAATGTTTTTAATGCGGTGCGAAGCACAGCATTTATGTAGTCCGTCGCGAGTTTTTTTTTGTTTCTTTCTAACTTGAGTGCGCATAAAAGAAACAGATTAAGTAGCGTGATGATCTAGAGAACCGTAAATGATAGAAAATCCATTCGAACTAGATATGAGAGTGTAAAGATCGAACTTGTTACATCTTTTTTCCAATTTTCAATACTAAGTTTCGTTCGCCTAAAAATCATTTTTTCTTTTTAACTTGACGCATATGCATCAAAATAGTCATTTTTTGCGCGATGATCTCGAGAACCGAAAATCATAGAAAAGTTATTCAAACTAGAGGTGAAAATATGAATATTGAACTTGTGGTATTTGTTTTCAAAATTTTACTACGATATTTTGTTTGCTCAGAAATATTCTCCCAAAATGACGATTTTGAAAGATATTTATCGTTTCAGACTTTCGCGCTAATTAAAATGACGTCATCAATAGTTGTTAACCAACAGTCTATTGCTTTACATCTGATTCAAGATAATGATTCATGAAAATAATTAATCGTTCAATGAAAAAAATTGTTAGACAACTGGTTGTTACATT